CCTTCGTTACAGAATCGCGAGTCAATTATTATAAATTTAATGATATGCTTTTCGTTAGCTTTATTTATTTATATTCCATATCTCGCGGAACTGAAATTCTTAAAATAAATTATTAAATTATGATTGCGAAAATACCGTGTTCTTTCCGCGTTCTTTTCACGTTCTTTTCGTGTTTTTTTTTTTGCGTTTTTATACAAAATTATCGTTTTAATAAAAGAATTTTATCGCTGTCCCTCTCATCAGATAATATTCGTCAATATTACTAATTAAACATAAAAAAATATCGGATAAAAGTGTGAAGATTTGATATGATTAGTCAACGATTAAACATTAGCTTCAAAAAATTTAATGATCACCTTCGATATTATAGAATCGCGAGTTAATTATTATGAATTTAATAATTCGTTTTTTTCAGTTATATTTATATTTACCAATTTCGTATCGGAAAATATTCATAAATAAATTAATAAATTATGGTTGCGAAATCACCGTGTTTTTCCCATGTTCTTCTCGCGTTCTTAGACGAGATTGTCATTTTAATAAAAGAATTATCATTGTTCCTTCCGTTAAATAAACGTTAATGAAAGTTGCGTGGCTCGTACCGCTGAGGAGTCGAAACGATTTTTATCATGGAGAATTATTTCTCATCGGTTCTTGTGAGATCCATTCAACGTCTAGTTCGGTGCCCCGTTGAAAATTGGGAATTTTTATTGTAAGATTGGAACTAATCCCAGGTTTTCCTGACAATTTCCGACAGCAATGATTTCGGTAGTCATTCAATGACGAACGCCATCACTTTTTTAAAGTCGAATTAATTTAAATAATATATATTTAGATGTGAGAGAAAATGCATTCTTTTCTTCTCGCTAAAAATGTTCTGTCATTATTAGGATTGGTATTATTATTGTCTGATGCCAAAAAGATTTAATAGTAGATTAAATATGGATATAGCGTTGTGTATAAATTTTTATTTTTCAAATAATTTCATATTGTGATTAATTTGTATTCATTTTTTGATAAAAATGATTACGAACGAATATATTTTTAATTAATATAATTTGTCCCTCTTTTGAAAAATTATTTCTAGATACTGGGAATATTAACATTAATTTTTAGTTTCTTTTAAGAAACTATTTTCAGATACTGGACATCCATCGCCATTTTGAAATATTAGTTTTTAGATATATACCATTTTATACATATGTATAATAAAATACATGCACAAATTCACGTATCCAAAATATTTTTATAATTTTTATTAATGTTATATGTTATATATACGCGAAATTATACATGAATGTTACATAAAATGTGCGAATACTTGAAAATTTTGAGACAAATCGAATGAGTACCTGTATATCAATAAGATTTTTATTGATTAAAAGAAAAAAATTATCAGTTTAAACTTTATAAGAATAAGAATCTAGAGAATTAATCTAGAATTAATTATATATTTAAAATTATTTCGTTTATTTTATTTTGCACCCTATTCGACTTGAAATTTTTTAAATCTTGCTGATATCGGGTTCGATTTGTCTCGCGCGCGCGAACGGTACCCCAAATTATTGTGTTCGCACATTTAAAACTCCAATAATGCATGTATTTTATTATTTATAAATATAATCGTTCGTAATCACATTTTTATAAAAAGATCGTTATATTCATTTAATTTTCAATAAAAAAATATATTTCTTAGTAATGGAAGAACATGTTTCTTAACGTGTATCAATATCAATTTCGTGAATTGAAAATAATGACGAGGAATTGTCTTTGATTTAATACTAAAATCATTGCTATTGGGAATAGTCCGGAAGATCCAGGATTCGTTCTCTCCTATAGTGAAATTCCCGAGGTTCAATGGATCACTTAACTTTTCGTCGCAGATTGATCTTGGGAAATTTGTAGAAACAAGATATTGATCGTTCTCCATTTTTAAGATCGCTCCTCTTTTCATCAGATTACCGGTATGTCATTCACATATCTGCAATTGAATATTTTGAATATTATATCGATTATATCGATTATATATATTATATTGATTATATGTATATATTATATCGATTTATTTATACATCGCGTTTTATCGCGAATTTTAAATCGCGATTTATTTTATAAAAATTTGCAAGTAAAATTGGTCGGTGAATTGCATATTCACAAACCTCAAATGTTTGTCGAAATATTTTCGATTTTCTATATTTACGTGATAATAATTATATCACGCACGTGTCTATTGAGAGCTTCGATTATTATATTATAAAAATTATACGTATCGCGATCAAATATTCCGCATATTATTGACTTATTTATTCGTCGCGTTTTCTCGTGAATTCGAGTCGCGATTTATCTTATAAAGATTCGCAATTGACTCGGATAGTGAGTACTGTATTCGTAAATATTATCGTCATAAAATTGTCTGTCAAAATATCTTCACATTTATGTGATAATTATATCGCGCGCGAATATAATGTTTATTGAGGCGCTTCGATTATTATATTATAAAATATCTATTATTACATTATCTATTATCACAATCGGATATTCTGAATATTATGGATTTATTTATTCATCGCGTTTTCTCGGGAATTTTAAATCGCGATTTATCTTATAATTTAGTCGTTGACTTATATATTGAAACTTTGTTTCCGTCTTTGAATATTGTTTTTAATAGTTCGTGCAAAATGCTAGTAGCGCAAATATTTTCTTCTATAATTTAAAAGACGATCGATAACTTTATTAAGGATTGTTTTAAATGTGATTCTTTATATTATTTAAATCTTATTAAATTCTACAATTACATCGATTATTAGAGGGACTTTGAAAATCATTCGTTCCGTTATTTTCTATTAAACATGGCCACAACGCGATTTTTAATTATATTTTGAAGCTTATAGAGCTCATTTCATCTTATTCAGCTAATCATGCGCGAAATAGGATGTTTTTCTCAATCGTGAAATTCATATAAAATCGCGCATTAATCGCAAATAAATCAGACAATAAATTTTATGTTCATAAACAATATGGATCACAAATGTTAGCCAAAATATCTTCGTCTGTCATTATTTATGTGATTATAATTATATCGCACGCCTGTCTATTGATGATTTCGATTATCATATTATAAAAATTATACGTATCTCGCAATCGAATATTCCGATTATTGTCGATTTATTTATTCGTCGCGTTTTCTTGCGAATTTTAAATCGCGATTTATTTAGTAATTTAATTGTTGATTTTGAAGTTTATTCTATCTTTTCATTTCAAATATTTCCTTTGATAATCTATATAAAATGCGTCAGTAATGCAAATACTTTCTTTTATAATCGAAAAAACAATCAATAATTTTATTAATGACTCTTTTGATCATGATTATTTACGTTATATAAAACTTATTAAATTCTATTATTGCATATCTATTATTAATAATAAATGTCGCGTAATTAATGTTCGCTGATCAGTTTCGTATGGACTATGTAAAAATTTTTAGTAAATTTTATATTATACATATATTTTGGACATTTTCATGTAATAAATTATTCCATGTAATAAATTATTTTGTATTAAATTTCGAATTATATTTTATATTAATATTATATATTTTGTATTATATTTTGTCATATATTTTGTAATATATATTTAACATAAAAATATTATATTAAGCATAAAAATATTATGTTAGTATGAGAATTATAATAAAAATATATAAAAATAATGTTAATTATATTAAAATGGAACATATGAATTCTTTATATTTTATATAAAGGAAGAGACAAAATATTTTGCAACATCTATATTTTTCTATATGTTTCGAGTCTTAATTATAAAAACTTCAAAAGAATCAATAATTAAAAAAATGATTGATAAATATCAAAAATGAGTTTACTAATTAAGAAGATTTATAGAAGTACGGTTAAAAATATTTTAATCCCACAGCAAGCATTTTGTTTTTTGTAAATAAAAAGATATAAATATGACAATGAATATAGAAAAATATTTATTTCATCTTTGAATATTATAGTATCTTTCGCGATTGAATAATTTATTTATTATCAATTTACATACATAAGTATCTTGTTATACCATTGGTGCTACCGGCATTTCGTACACATAGCACGGAACAAAATCAGAAATTGTGCACATTATATATTATCAGGGTTGGATAAGTTTATATTTTTTTAAACTAAATTAAGTTAAAGTTAATAGGTTAAAAAATTAATTTACCATAGTTATGTTAAAAGTTATACAAATAAAAAATTAACTCAATAAAAGTTACGTTAAGATTAAATTAACGTTAGTTAAGATAAAATTTTGAAAAGCATTATTTCACTTTATATTAAATTAGATTGTAATTTTAAAATAGATTACTCTAAATAAATTACTCTAAGTAATAATAGTATGAATCATCAAATAAATTTGGGGGGAAAGTTAATAAGTTTAAGTTTATGTATTTTAAAAATAACTAGTTAAAGTTAAAAGTTAACTCTTTTTAAAATAACTAATAAGTTGAGTTAAAAATTATTAACTTTTTAACTTTTTTTTAAACTTTTAATTAATCAACTAGTTATTACCAACCCTGCATATTACCCTCTAAGAACATTCATGGACATTGGCTTTGTAGTTCATGCTCATGTCAATGTCCATAGAGGGAGTACTATCGCTTTCACGGATCACCTAAAAGCGGGCCATGACACCTCTCAGTCTTCTCTCTGCTTACAATGTCATAACGTTGCATTTATAATTTTGCATTTCTGTCTTACAAGGTGAATAAATAAATAAAGGCAAAAAATAAAAATAAATATATAAATAAATAAAGGCAATATCCAGACGGAATTGTAAGAAAAATTGCATATCCGATATTCGATGTATTGCCACGGAAGCCTCTGATTGGTCAATCCAGTAAAGACTTTAGGCAGCGATCGCGAGCAATTGATTGGTCGATTTATTTGGGTAGTTATGCAAATCATCTGGAGAGGTCTTTAAACCAGTCACGTGCTCTAACTTGTCAAAAGACGTTACGTATGTGACATTTGCACCTTCGCAATCTCGTTCTCTCTCTCTCTCTCCCCCCCTCTCTCTTTCTTTCTCTTTGCCCTTGCGTGAACGAGTACGTTTTTCAAGTGTCGGAAGCGCGAGAGGTTTAAGGAAACGGAAGTGGCGTGTGTGTTTGTAGTTACTGCCAGTTCTGCGTCAATAAACTATCGCGTCGTCAGGTCGTCACCAGTCGTCACCAGCGAGTAACGTTGTTGAAGCCACGTTGTGTACTCAAGAAAAACGTATTTACCTTTCTATTATGTCGACTGCAAAAAACGTGCTCGAAATGAGTTGGGATAATGTTGTCAATTATTTGCAATATATTTCGGAACCTAAAAAAACGATACCTCAAAACGGCATAAAAAATATGAAATGCGAGAGTGAGCTAATGTCTCATTTATTGACCAATCAACAAATTACGTGAGTATAAATATAAGTTTCCTCCAAGAAAAGCATTTTGCAGTTTGATTGCAATTTGCATTGTCTACATTTCCAAACGCTATATTTCTAACAAGAGAATGGAGTTTATAGCGTATAATATTATAATTATAATTATTTATATAAATTATATATATTTATATACATTATAGTAATTATATTAATTAATTATATAGTATACCTATGTTTGTTTATTATACTGTAAATTGACAATTGGGTTTCCTATTTATCCGTCAGTTTCTTAATTATCTATTATAATTATTATTAATATACTTGTGCGTAATATAGTTTTAATTACGATGCAGAAAATGTATATCTTTATGGCTGAGCAAACTTTACGATAAAAGAGAGTTGAGAAAAGAAAAAAAAAATCTGGATACATCAATGTTTTACAAGTCAGAAGGGAACAAAGAATTTCAATTAAAAAATTATAACACGTCTCTGAAATTATATACGAAAAGTGCGATATACGCTCCATCAAGTAGCATAGATCTGCCAGTAGCAGTTGCAAATAGATCAGCAGCCTTGTTTTATTTGGAAAGATGGCAAGTAAGTGAAGAAATTGAATTATATTCAAAGATCAGTGTACTTTTGCTTTTTATAGTTTAGTTATTTATTTAATTCATAATTTATTTTATTTATGACAACTACCTAAAAGTTATAAGATTATACTTATAACTTTTAAATAAATGTAAATGTAACTTATGAATCTTGTGCAAAGGATTGTATCAAAGATATCGAACTGGCGATTAAATTAGGCTATCCGGAGAAATCACGGGGCAAATTATATCTGCGTATAGTTGAGTGTTATTTGAAGCTAAATAAAAAAATACTAGCTGCTCGAATTATTTCTGAATTGAACAATTCGAATCAATACGATATGACAAATGAACAGAGAGGCAAGTATTCACATATATTTATATATATCTAAACTTAAAGAGAAAATTCTTTATTATAGACATCTTTTATATTTCTAATATAATCAATGAATGAAATTTATAGAGCGATTACAGAAAATGAATGAAATAAAACTGCAATCTGTAAATGCTATTGACGGGATAAACGATGTACATCGTACATGTAACATCGTGAATGTAACAGAATCTCCTTCACAACCTAAACTTAAGCGCCTAAAATCTGGTGAAAATCCTAATTTTCGATCTGCATCGGCGAGTATAGAAGTGAAGCATGCGCCAGGAAAAGGGAGATATGTTGTTGCTAATAGAAATATCAAAAAGGGTGAAACTCTTTTCGTTGAAGATGCATTCACCTTTGTGTTAGTAAATAACAACAAAGACAATACTCATTGTCACAATTGTTGCAAGAGCTACCTCGATGTTCCTGTACCGTGAGTTGTATTATTTTTTTGCAATTTGAAGAATAACAATTTAAAAAAATGTAAATATTGCACCTTATATATAATATTACATATTACATACAGATGTACAGAGTGTGTGGACACTTTGTTTTGCAATATGAAATGTTGGGACGAGGCATGCTTGTCTTATCATCGTTGGCTATGTCTTGCCAGTCAAATGGGCCTTTTGCGGCAGATTGGCATAACACATTTGGCTTTAAAATTATTGTGTGTGTGTGCAACTACAACCAACAATGAAAAATTTAATGATGTACAACAGCTAGTGACCAATTTTAATAAACTTACTCCAGAAGACGCTTTTTCGTATGGAATTGTGAGTTATATGATTTTTACAAAGATAAAATGCATAAAACTCTTATAGACAATTTTATTGCGTGAACTAAATTATACCTTATCTCTTTTTTTTCAGACGGCCATTATGCTTACATTCTATTTATCAAAATATACAGATTTTTTTAAAGATATCAATTTAAAAGAATGTTTAGCATCGAAGTTTTCCAATGATGATTTTAATATTAAATGTGACCTTGTAACAGAAGATGATAAACGATTGTATGTAAGTTCTTTATTGTTTAGACATATACTGCAGCTTGTATGTAATGGACATGCTATCACGAAGATAAACGTGACAGCAGATGATCATGAAAATAAACTTCTTATTGAGGAACAAATTAGAATAGCTACGGCGATTTATCCTTCTGCAAGTATGATGAATCATTCTTGTGACCCTAATATAATTAATAGGTAATATATCGACATTTTAATTACAAGAAACAAAAAGAATTACTTCTATATACAAAATATAGATATTTTTTATTATTTAAATAATACTATTACTCTTTAGCTTTTTAGATCAGACTTTAATAGTTAAAGCTATACAGGATATTAAAGAGGGTGAAGAAATTCTTCATTGTTATGGTATGTTAAAAATTTAAAAATTTATAATAAATTTTATTATATTCTCTATTAATATTAAATTTTTACATTGTATTATATGTGCGGGACAGGAGTCGATTTCAGAAGAATGCCAAAAGCAGAAAGGCAAGAAAGTTTGGAAAGTCAATATTATTTTACATGTAATTGTAAAGCATGCACAATGCCAGAATATGAAAATTTTATGGTAAATTACATACTATTTTTACATATATATGCAAAATTTTACATTGATTTATAAGAGCTTGATTTCTTTAAAAGAAAAGATTTACTGCGATAAAGTGCCCTGAATGCAGTGGACCATTATTATTATGTGATGATCATGATCCTCCGATGCTTTGCTCAGATTGTGGAGCAACAGTTTTTGAATTAACTTATATATATAAAGCAAAACAAGCACAAGTTTATGCTAAGAATTATTTCAAAGAAGCAGAATATTACATAAGGGAAGGAAACTTGGAAGAGGCAGTTATTGAATTAAAGAAATGCTTGTCTCTTAGGAAAAACATTTTATATAAATACCATGAGGACATTATTATAACCTTGGATTTGTTGGCAAAGTTATATATTAGTATAGGTTTGTATTAATAACTTTGTTTTTTCTTTAAATGAGAATAAAAAAAAGCGAGAGTGTTACTTTAATATATATTTATCGATTACTTTTTGGTACTAGATCAACGATTGCCTGCCATTTATCATCTTGAACACACCATTGTGGCGATTGAAGAAAGATATGGTTCTTGCAGCATAGAACTTTGCAATGAATTAAATAAAATAACGGATATATGCATTACTTATTTGCAAATGGAATCTAACACGACATCCAAATTTTATAAGTATATCATATTTTTATTATTGATATTATTTTATGTAATATAATGTTTGGCGCACATTTTGCACAATTATTCATTATAGTGTACTCATTTCATGTTTATTTATGTATTTTGTTACAGAAATATTTTGAAAAAAACACGACGATATCTAAATAATGCTCAACAAATCCTAGATATCGTTTATGGTCCATGGCATGAAATTTATAATGAAATTGAAACAAAGATGGCGATTCTTTTCAATATTTTACAAAATTTTAATGTCTGATATATATGTAATCAATCTGTAATGTGTGATAGATGAGTAAATAAAAAATGCACAAAAAAATGTTCTTCATATATTCTCAAAAGCATAGTCATCTTTCCATACATTTTTTTTTAGTAACGAGATATAACATTTTGATAGTGCAGTGTGTATAGAAAACAATTGTTGTCATTATTTTTTACTTTACAGCCTTATGCAATCTGTTCTCGTTTATTTAATTTTTGAATTTATTTTAACAATTTTATAACAATCATTTCGTGTTTAAGAAAAAGAAAAAAATACGAAAATTATCTACTGTATTATAAATTTTTATTTTTCCAGATTAGAGAGAGATAAGATTTAATTAAGTTGTTTTTTTAATATAATAATGTATAAACAATTTGTTTATTTACATTATGCTATGTTTTGATAAGTCTGAAGTTTTATCTCTTTTATGTTACCGTTTGAGATTGTGTTTAATTTTCTTCATTATCATTTTCGACCAATTTATCGGAACGATTGTTATTTCTTACAGTACAAGACAATATGAACATAAAGAGTTAAACATAAGAACATAAAACGCAAGAAGATAGTTCGGAATTCTTTGGCTTCTCTGAATTGGATCGTTATCGGACTCGATCTTCCGATATTCTATGCTCTAATTTTGAAGTTTGGTAAGGAAGTAATTACCGAGTCATGTAACAGAATTCCCTGTATCAAAGTAATCGTCGAATACTTTTATGGTTGCTGCGAATTAGTTATTAACAAGTAATTTATTGTACTTTGCGCGTAGTTATTGTGAATAATATAAATATCGAATAAAAATATTATCTGTCATCAATTCAAAGATCGATGTTTTTTCGATTACGCATTGAAAACTATCGGCATTAATTCATTTATAATCTTTTTTAATCATCAAATGTGAAATGAGTCGAGAATTTATATTTCGCGAAATTAAATATTGTGTTTTTGTAATTGAAAATATATATATTACGTAAATCCGATTATTTATTTTTCAAAACAAGCCCATAGTAATCTTAAAATAACATGAAAAGTTCACCATACAAATATTAATACATAAAATTAAAAATAATATGCGAAAAATAATGTTATATTTAAATAAAAAATTTAAAATATTGAAAAATATTTTATCTCACATATAGTAAGAGAAATAATTGTCTAAAAGAATCGAGAAGAAAGAAATTATAATTTATAATTTTTGTTGCTTTGATTCGTAGTTGAAATAATAAATACATATTGTAAAGGCTGATTATTGCGATATAATTGCGCGTTTATCTAAAATTAATTAATCGTTAATTACAATGATAATATGAATTATTTTTCGATGTTTGTCGCAAGCGCGTTTTGAAAAAGAATTCGATCATATATGGATCATCTCGTACTCACAAGATGATTTGTATCAACAATCATATTTCGACATAATAATATGTATAAATTTAGACTGTGTAATATTTTATGTTTCCTTGCATTTTAAATTAATTTCGACGATTAAGGCAATATTGTATTTATTAAAAAATGTAATTTATCCTACTTTGATCGAGAAATTATTTTAACTTTTTATTGACTAAATTAATTTAATATTATTATTTTATATAAAATTTTTTTATATTCCGATAAGATACATCTTATTTGAAATTTGCGATTTTTTAATTGCAATTTATTAAATAATACACGACATAAGCATATAAATGGCATGCAACATGCGCTTGGTAATATTTCAATATTTGTAAATTTATCTCTTTGTGAAAAAGAAATATACTATATCTCAGGAAAAAGAAGCGTAAAAATATTTTAATTTAGTTTTTTTGTGGGAAAGATAGATATAGGAAGATAGATATTTCGGACAGAATTTCACATTCAAGAGGTACCTATCCACGATATGATTCTCATTCATCTAGGGAATGTAAAGAACCTTCGCTGTCGGATTTTTATTCGTTGTAAAAAAGCTTTTACTTGAATTGTTAAATATTAAAATTATTAATAGTTGTATCTATTCTGCATGACACTTGCTTTTACACTCGCGACACGGGCTTCACGTCCAGCTTTTATGAATATTACAAATATTGTCTCCAGAAATATTGCCACACATTTTTTAAGCTTATTGTCCTAATACATTAGCTTGAGCTACATATGTCGTAAAATCATAATAAAGAATATTATTCGACGTCTAATCACGTGCGCACATTAATTTATCATTTTTGTGCTTTATCTAAATTTTTGTTCTATTATATGGGCGGTTTCATTTTATTAAAATCTCATGCATATTAAAAGTAATAATTTATAATACATTTAAATACGTTTTATAAATATTTATTATCATGGCTGCTGTTATTTTCGGAGCACGATATTAATTAAAACAATTCGCCATTTGGGAACTTTAATTTTACTGCATAGTCGGCGGTATATACAGCTACTCTCGAGCTCTACTTCATTAAAAATACATCGAAGTGCATTCTCTCCACTGTACCGAGCAGCTTCATTTGCAAATGGCTCCATGCGTCACTGTGTAAAATAAAACACGACATCTCCGGTTATATGCATTACCATCGCGAGCGAATAAACCGATAACTTGACATTGGGACGGAGGAATTCTTCATTAGTATGCTGTTCCGATGTGACAGGAATTCCTTACGCATCCGCGGACAATCCCGAGAGGCATGAAAAGTGCATAGAATGTAATTTCCTCTTAGCTTTAATGCGCACCCCAATGGAAACGATAATTGAATTTTTATGCTGTAGCTGAAGCATCATTGTTAATCAGAATTATATAATAGGATTTAAAAGAAAACCGACAATTTCTACCAATGGCTTAGCATCTAATAGCATGTCTTGTAAAGTATAATCAAAATTTGTTGGATGTAAAAGAAAGGAAAATTATGTTGTATCTATATAAAATTCAAGATCGAACAATTTTCTTTTTCATTTTTTATTATGAAAAGAATGAATTAGAACAAATGTAATATATTGTAAAAGTATAATAAAAAATTAAATTACATAATAAATTACATTTATTTGAATAATTTTAAACTTGCAATTTTACTTCTAAATTTACAATATATTCAGTTTTAGTTTTAGCTATATATATCTTTAATTAAAAAAATTAGTTAACAATTAATTAATCATTAATTCATCATTTACATATATTAATTAACAATTATAACATTATACATATTAATCAACAATATATAACAATAATACAATAAATTATACATATTATACATATACATTATACATTATACATATTAATCAACAATATATAACAATATATAACAATAAATTACATTTATTATGTAATTTAATTTTTTATTATACTTTTACAATATATTACATTTGTTCTAATTTTGATAATTTTTACGAAAACTTATATAACACTTGATCTTGAGGTGTTATAGAGAGTTTATTCTTGAGTAACATGCAATCAGGCGGTGCTTTCTTACATATATATTGTTGATTAATATGTATAATGTTATAATTGTTAATTAATATATGTAATTGATGAATTAATGATTAATTAATTGTTAACTAATTTTTTAAATTAAAGATATATATAGCTAAAACTAAAACTGAATATATTGTAAATTTAGAATTGCAAGTTTAAAATTATTCAAACTCAAAAATTACTCAACTTTAAAATATCCCCAAAAAAATATCATAAGAGAGCACCGGTTAATTCCAATATATTATTAAAAAAAAAGATGAATACTTTACATATATCAAAGTCAAAATAATCCGCGTGCTGTGCAAATTTTTGTAAAAAATTATTTTAATTTGAATTGAATTTAATTTTTCGGTTAGGTTCAAACCAGGACACAAAGCGCGAAAAATTTAGCGTTTTAATAATTGATTAAATAATCTAATATTACGTTGATTATAAATATTTAATGTTAATGTTTTTACATTTATCGTTGCCAAAAAATATCTTATATATCTTAAAAGAATGCTTAAGAAGATCCTTTTAACATCTCAAGCCTTCTGTCTAAAAACAGGAATATAATTATTTTTTTTATCGGTCGGTCAGATTTAAAATAGCAAATAAATTCATTTATTTTGAACCTATATGCAACAGGACGTAATATTCGGTCGAGACATGTTGTTTCTAAAAGATGAGCGAGATTTACATCCTTGCGATTCCTATCTCGTCTCCGGGATATTCGGATAAACAGACTTGTGTGCAAAACTGTCGCGTCCCTCAGATACCTGGGGCGCTCCTTGAAATCCGGTATTTCGCATTTGGATTTGCTTCGCTATCGTGTTTCCTTGGAATGTACATACTGCCACACCGACTACATCGAGAAACATTCGATGAGAAATTTACAGCCGGAAAATTTGTGTACAACGCATATTCTAAACGACATATTGTATTTATATCGTGCAAAGGTACTCAAAAATGCAACGCGATTTATTATCGTCGCACTGAATGCGTATTGCTATCGATTTATTAAATTAATCGAAGCATTTTTGGAGAGTAAAGAAATTTAAGATTTGGATTTCGATTTTAGTCATTTTATTGCTATTTATAAAAGGAGATTTTGTATTTGTTTTATATTTTAATTATATTCTTACAATTAATGAATTTATTAAAGATAATTAAAATGTAGTGAAAATGTGAAACTATGTAATAATATGTTTTTATATACATTTAGCAGAAATGTATTTAAACTCTTGATAATCTTTTTATTAAGATTATTGATGAACAAATAATGATAAGAAATTTTGTTAATTAATTGTGTCAAGGTGTGTTAAATATTTGATTTATTTTATAATTATTGTTACTTTATTTACTTTAATAAATTATTTTAATAAATCACAATATAATATATAACTTTCTTGTTTTATAAACAGTACTGTAGATAAATTTACTATATTTATAATAAACTATATTTTTCATAAATATTTTAATCATAATTGGATTTATGAAAAATATAGTATTTATCTACAGTACTGTTTATAAAACAAGAAAGTTATATATTATATTATGATTTATTAAAATAATTTATTAAAGTAAATAAAGTAACAATAATTATAAGATAAAAAAAAATTATATCAAATATTACTGGTTTAGAAAATGAAGAATTTTTAAATTTATAGATGTATATGGATTTTGTCATATATAATTATCTTAGACCTTAATAGCCCATTGA